ACAAAAAAAATGCATATCAGATGATTATTTTAAGGATTAAAATGAATAGTCTAAAACAAGCATAAAAACAAATTGTATGGCTCAAATTTATTATTATTATTATTATTATTATTATTATTATTATTATTATTATTATTATTATTGTTGTTGTTTCTAAAGATTAATGATCAAGGTGGCTTACATGATGGAATTAAAAATTTACTCAAAATACAAAATTATCTAGTTTGTTAATTTCATTTATTCCCCATCATTTATTCAATTTACATGTCATTTATTGTTATTTCCTGAATTCCATTTTTGTATTGCATTATATAGTTTTTCTAGTAGAAAGAGAGTGTGTTTCAATATATTTTGTGTTCTCCATTTTAAAAATCCCATGTGCACTAGTTTCTCCTGTACAATGCAAAATAATTTTGAAAAATAAATTATTATAAGAAAAAATTGTTCTAACCTACCCAAGAAAATGAAACCACACAATTTAATTCAAATTATTTATTAATTATGAATTATTTTTATGCCAAAATTTATGAAAACTTATTCTTACTTATCAAACACGCCCATAGTGTAAGTTATAAGATTGAGGTTAAGAAGCATTATTTTCTCTGGCTTTATCCACATCCGCAAAGAATCCCACTCCCCGCATTATAAATGAATTTTTTATCATTCTTTTGCAAGAGACTGAGAGACTCCTTCCATAGGTAGATAAGAGCAAGCTTTAGCTAGTTGTCAAATTTGAATGGGTGGGTGGCTAAGATGGATCCACTTACAAAGTCATGTCTCTATAATGTTTTATTTCTATTGTTTTTCTACAAAATATTTGGACACCAAATTTTGGGCGTCCACTCCTCTCTTAAACTCACACTTGACAAAAAAAAAAAACCCGCTAAAATATTTGGGCGTCCACTCCTCTCTTAAACTCACACTTGACAAAAAAAAAAACCCGCTAAAATAGAATGAATAAAATACCTTTGAATGTTTCAAGGGTATTTTGGTTATTTTATTTTAATATAAATATTTGTTTCATATTTTTTTAGGTGTACCCCACTGAGATGATGACAATTACCAAATTTCATATTCATATAATTTATAAAATAAAAACTAAATATAAAATACTATAAAGCATCAAATCTAGATCAGATGGTCAATGGCTTATTTGATGTACATTAGACGGCTGGATGGGGGAAAGTATAGGACTTCTATACAGTAGTGAAAGTATAGAAACTTTTCCCTGTATACAATAGTCTAACTTCATATTCCGGGCTGACGACTGGTTGGTCCTAGGCCGGGGGAGTCCTGGCCCTAACCTAGCCATAGTCCTTATAGGGCTAGCTTGAGCCAGGCCCTTCCAATACTGAAATCAAAATAATTTTTTGATAAATCAAACATAAAAGTAGAATATTTGTTTGAAAACATAAATTTTAGATAAAAATGAGGGAGAAAGATTGAATATGTGGTTTAGGGCAAAAAAAAAAAGAAAAAAAAAGAAAAAGAAAACAATTTTTTTATCTTTTGATTCATCAAAAAAGGGGTTTGTTTCCAAAAATGGTATCTTGAATGTACTCCTGAATAGGGTTTCACCTAAGGGAATGAATGTATGATGCACTCCCATTGGAGTGCATAATCTGGCTTCCTGTTCTTATAGGTTTTACCCTAATTTTTTTTTTTTTCAACAAGTGATATGCACATTTATGTACTTGTACTTAGACTTATTTACATGAAAGATTTAATTCTTGTCATGTTTGGATCGAGGTTCACAAGTTTAGGCTTCAAAACGGATTTTATTTGACGTAAGAAACATAAATTTCCAGATTTTACCAAATTTTGGCCAATGTTCTTTCTTATAAGATGGACTTTATATCAATAAGATATCGGAAGGCATAAATTTAGATTTTAAGTATAAATAATTAGATCTGCTTATAACAATAGAAAACTTTATATGAAGTGCAGCCTACTTATAAACTATGTGTGACTACTATTCTTAGCCGCCTGATCTAAATGGATGGGTGTGTAGCTTTAGTCACAATATCACAAGTTCGCTTCTGAGCATCTGATCTTGATCAGATGGCTCAAAATATTTTATTTTGGACTTTTATAAATCAGTGTGACATGTAAATTAGAGGGTTCTCACTTTTCATAGAGGCAGACTTAATAAAAATGAAAGAGGTATTTATGACAAAATAAAACATCAAAATGCTATTTAATTTTTTACAAAAATGTATATATATTTTATGTTGGATGTGCCTCTCCATATAAAGAGTTGGCATGCTTCAAATTTCACGTTAAGATGATTTGTAAAAAAAACTGACACGACATTGAAACTGAAGCCATTCCAAACATCTATTTAGATCAAACACAATTGTGAATAGCGCACTCAAATTATTTGTCTATTGCTCCACACGTAAAAAGTTTCCCAAAAGTTTAATCGCTACTCTTCAATCTTGACATAAAATACAATATGGTTTGAAAAAATATTAAATTTTGTAAGGCATAAATAAATGATGTACATATACCCTTAAATTACCGTTATTTCAAATATCCTATCCTAATGTTTAATATTACTTTCTATTTTTTTTTTTTTTTGGGGTTTTTCTCACATTTCTCATATTTTTGTCATCTAATGCTCAAAGATTATTATTTTTACAACATGAAGACCTTCAAGAACCCAATTTGCTATATTTCGAACCTTCAATATTTGAAGTTGCCAAAGTTAGTTTGTTCAACATGAGGCTTTCAAAGTCCCAAGTTGTGCAGGTTTCGTGTTGAAAAAAAAAAAAACTTAAGTAGCTTAGGATCTTGAACGTTTTAAATTTTAAACTTCAAGCCTTCAATGTCTAAAATAACTTTTGACCTTAAAGGTTTGTAAACCTCAGATATTTAAGATCCAAATTATGAGTAATTTAGGAAAAACAAAAAACACAAAAAAAGATATAAATGTAATATCTAACTCTGAAGTGAAACTGTGAAGAATTGTATTTTAAGGGACATGTGCGTAAATTTCCTTACGATATAACGATTAAAAAATGTAAGGAGGGGAGAAATAATTGAGTTTTTTTTTTTAAGAAAAAAGTTTATATAAGGTGTCAATCTTATGATGTAGAAATAAGGTGCATATCAAAAATCTACCAGAAAATATTGTTGTGGCTTGGAAAAGCCTTGTAATTGATTATCTTGATCTAGATCGAGATGTATAGATATGAAAAAAAAGGATTTCAAATCTTAAAAATAGTACATTTATAACACATTATTTAAATCATCTATTGTAAATATTTGTAAGTGTCTATAGACTCGATTTACACCATTTTTGGATCTTTAAATTTTACAATTAATTATATAAGCATCATGAGAGTTTTCGACACGTTGAATTGCATATTTTAGTAATATTTAAAGCCGTGCCTTACTTTAATTGTTTAATGCTGTTATCCCTTGTACAAACCACACCCTTTTTTTTTTTTAAAAAAAGGTGAGATATATATATAGTATCCACCTTGAAATATCAAAGTATGACACACCTACAAACTCCACCAAAAAATGAACTTTTGGTGTGGAAAACGTTATAATGAGTTCAAAATCTATTTTCACTTCAAATTTCATAATTTGAAGTTCTTAAAATAATATAGATTAGGTAAATCTATAAACACTAAATTTTTTTCAAAATAAATAGTTTAGGTAAAAATGTTACAAAACACACTAACCCTTTTTAC